AAGCCATCTCATACATAATTATAATAATGTGTGTATTTGTACTACTAAAGTTTTTCTTCTTACATTCCGTCTTTAGTTATATTTTTACTCATTTTATTTGCATAAAAATATAATTTGTTTTGCGCCTGAATTTAATCGCGCAGTAAAAAATACATTATGAATGCGTTTTCTCTAAAAACAAACTTTATTTATGAGATCATAATGTAAACAAGTAAGAGTGTTATATTCGGCCATGCCGAATCTTATATACCCACCATCAAATCATCCTTATAAATAAACTTTGATATTATCGATCTATGTTGAATCATATGTCGATATTAATATGAACATCAGGGAAATATTTGGTAGAGGGAATTTAATAAGGGCTTAAGCATGGATCGTACTCTTCCGAATTAAAAATATTAATTTTGTTTGATCCAATATTTATAACCATAAACTGTTTTTTTGTAAGAGTGGTTATATGGAGGGTAGAGTCAATTATGGACCTATCCTTGTCGGTTTATACAATAATTATTTGTATCTAATGTAGCTGTACTTGTATCTTTAATTCAGTCATGAGGTTTAAAATAATTATCTGAAGGGAACCGAAAATGGGTGTTTGATTAGTTATCCTCATCAAATTCAGTTGAAAACTTCCAGTTCCTATAAAACTACCGTAATTTGGAAGAACTTTTAAGCCATACATGAGCGTTAAAGTGATTCTCTGGAGAGAATTATACGCCCACCCCCGTATAAGTCAATTATGGATCGATACTTCTAAAATTTAAAACGATTTTTAGTTTTTGGCTAGTACAAAACTTGTTTACGTAGATTTTCACTGCTGTAATCGCATTTTTGAGTCAGTAATGAGCGTTAAAGTCATTATCTGAAGGGGACCTTATAGGGGGGTAGGGTCAATTACAGATTCTCATAAAATTTAGTGGGAGATTTTAGCTAATACGAAAATTGTTTATGTCGAAATTCATCGATGTACTCGCAGTTTTAAGCTAGTAATGAGCTTTAAAGTCATTTTCTGAAGGGGACTTTACAAGTGGGATAGGGTTAATTAAGGATCGATCCTAATAAAATTTGATAAAGAACTTTTGGCTTGGACAAAACTTGTTTATGTAGAATTTTACTGCTGTACTCACATTTTTGAGTCAGTAATAAGCCTTAAAGTCATTATATGGGGGGTAGGGTCAATTATGAACCGATCCTTATAAAATTTTACGAAGAGATTTAAATTCTTATAAAACATGTTTGTGCCGAATTTCACCTCTATTGATGCTTCCCTTAGCCAGTTATGTGCGATAAAGTCATTTTCTGAAGGGGACTTTATATGGGGGGTAGGGTCAATTATGGACCGATTCTTGTAAAATTTTACAAGGAGATTTAAGTTCTCATTAAACATGTTTGTGCCAAATTTCACCGCAATTGATGCTTTTCTTAGCCAGTTATGGGCGATAAAGTCATTTTCTGAAGGGAACTTTATATGGGGGGTAGGGTCAATTATGGGCCTATCCCTATAAAATTTTACAAAGAGCTTTAGGTTCCTATAAAACATATTTGTGCCGAATTTCACCGCAATTGATGCTTCTCTTAGCCAGTTATGGGCGATAAAGTCATTTTCTAAAGGGGACTTTATATGGGGGGTAGGGTCAATTATGGACCGATTCTTATACAATTTTACAAAGAGATTGAGGTTTCGATAAAACATGTTTTTGCCGAATTTCACCGCTATTGATGCTTCCCTTAGCAAGTTATGAGCGATAAAGTCATTTTCTGAAGGGGGCCTTATATGGGGGCTAGGCGAAATCGTGGACCGATATTGCTCATTTTCAATACCAAACAAACTGCATCAACTATAAGTATCTGTGCAAAATTTCAGCTCGCTAGCTACTTCCGTTTGGACTCTATCGTGTTTTCAACAGACAGACAGACGGACAGACGGACAGACGGACGGACATGGCTAGATCGTCTTAGAATCTAATAAGGACCCAGAATATATATACTTTTATGGGTCTTAGACGAATATTTCAATGTGTTACAAACGGAATGACAAAAACAATATACCCCCCATCTTTTTTGATGGTGGGTATAAAAATTAAAAAAAATAAAATAAAACTTAAAATAAAACAGCTTTAACAACACAATTTATTCTTCTTAGTTTTGTTAATGAGTGAGTAAAAGAAAACTGATGAAAATTTATAGAAAAACACACACAGAAAGTTGTTTAGAAAGTTTCAAGATGTTCTTGTTGAGAAAGAAACTAGGAGTATGGAGGGGTTTTTATGCCTCATGTAAATAAATTTCTAAACAAAAATGTATTTTCTTTTAATTTCTACTTTTATAATTATTTCTCAAGAAGAGTTAAAGCTAGTTTTCGCAAGTTTTAATAAGAATCTAGAATCTGAATTTGCACAATTAAGTAAAGCTGTTATAAGAATTGTTTATACAACAAGGCTTAATAAATCACATAATTATTGTTAGACTTGAGTATGTAAGTATTTTACCTTAAACTATTTTCTACAATAGTGTTTTCTCTTAAATGGTTAATTTTATTTTAATTACGCAGAAAAACGTATACAAAAATATATAACAAATTAAAAACATCCGCCAAATGTTTCACATACAAGGACAAAATTGTACATTAGTAAGCTTACATTCTTACACTAAGCTTTGTGCGTTAGTCGAAGATCATGGACACAATGCCACGCCCATTCACATTGGAACAATTTTAAAAGTGAAGTAACTAACTTTCATGTTCACTTTTATACTCTTAATGAATCATGTTAGAGTGCTATATTCGGCTATGCCGAATCTTAAATACCCTCCACCAGCAAACTACTTTTTTTATTAAAGGCTATTAAACTATGTATCTAGTTTTTAGATAACTTGGAATAAGTTTTGTTTCCGTAGTGAGGGTACTATCATTTAGTAATTTCTTTATGGAACTTATTTTGATTAGATCAAAAAAAAGTTGATATTAAGTAATTTTCGTATATGGAGTTTCTGCGGGTGCTATAACCTATTATGGGCTGATCTTGCAAATGCCAAAAAATCTAGAAGGATGATTTGTATATATACAACCCCTATTTCTGTCGAGTTTTACTTCGATGTCGATATTTTTAATGAATTATATTCCTTTAAGTATTTTTCGAAATGATCTTGGCCTTATATGTGAGCTACCTCCTATAATGGACCAATTGGAAAACATTTTAGCAGAATGATCTATCTATACACAGAACATGCTCATGTCGAATATTATCCCGATATAATCATTTAATAATGAATTATGTGATATTAAGTGATTTTCAGAAGTGAACCTTTTATGGGAGCTATGACTAATTGTAGAGCGTTCTGAAAAAAAAATCCGTATACTGATTTATATATGTATATACAAAACATATTCAAGTTGATTTTTATCCCGATAACTTTTATTGTCAATAAAATTGCGCATATGGGTTTTTTTGGAAATAATCCTTATATAGGAGTTGTCACCAATTATGGACCGATCCGGGAGAAAAATTCGTAGAGTGATAGATACATACACAAAACATATTCGAGCCGAATTTTGTCTCGATAGCTTTATTTATTATTGAAATATGCGCGTTTAAGTGATTCTCAAAAGTGGATCTTATATGAGAGCTATGACCAATTATGAACTGATTCGAAAAAAATTTCGCCGATTGTTTTACATATATACAAAACATATTAATGTCGAATTTTACCACGATAGCTTTATTAGTTGATGAAATATGAGCGTTTAAATGATTTTCGGTAGTGGGCCTTATATGGCAGCTATGACCAATTATGGACCTAATCGGAAAAACATTCGTAGAGTGATTGATACATACACAAAACATATTTATGTAGAATTTTTCAATGAAATATGCGTGTTTAAGAGATTTGGGGCTTATATAGGAACAATGACCAATTGTGGACCGATGTAAATCTACCTTGGTAGAATGACATCTGTTTATATTATATTTATTTAAGTTGATACCGATATATTTGAGGAAGTTATTAACGATAAATCCATTTCCGGAAATATGTACCTTTTTATGGGGGCTGTGGGAAATTTTGAATCGATTGTATAAAAATTTGTATATCTGGGAAACCATTAGAGGTAGAATCGTTAGATTTCGCACGGTCACAAAGAAATGCATATGAATAATTAGACGAAAACATGTTCAGATCAGCAATATCAGTCGTGACACCTTGCATACAAATTAGTATATCTGGGAAAAAGTTAGAGCTAAAATCCTCAAATTTTTTACGGACAACATTGAAATGTATACGAATTTAAAACAAAATTTCGTATATCTGTTAAACTTTTAGAGCTAGAATCCTAAAATGTTGCCATTAATGCAAACATTTGGGAAATTTTACATGACAAACTTTTACATACATTTGAGGATTTGGCGAAAAGATTTGCGAGCTATCAATAGTAGACATGCCACCTTTCAAACGAAGTATAGAATGTTAAAATAAGATAAACTGAAATGGTGAAAGTTTTGAAATATTGTACAAAAATTATTTTAAAAAAATTTAAAATTTAAAAAATTGTTTTTGGAAACAATCAAGAAATAGCTATCTGAACTCCTTTGGACAATTTTTGCTAAGACCAATAGGTGAAAAGTTACACTCATTTGAATAAAACCCTGTATGACCAAAATGTCCAACTTTGACCCCCTCTAAGCGTCGTAGCGCTATCCAATAGAACCTTGGTTCAAATTTCATCAAAATCGGAAGACATCGATTTTTAAAGTTGGGTCACTTGACACGAAATGACCCATATGTATGTATATTAGGCGCTCTTATACATATATGTGCAATTATTTATTATTATGCGAGGACATTTGTATAAAAGTTATCGAACCAATTTTAACTGATAAATTTCGTATATCATACAAAGTTATGACATATTTTTTTAAATTAATTCCATATTTTAACTTTGCTTTTATTAAATTTCTCTCACTGTATAGAGGATAAAAAAATTGGTATGTAGTGCTACTTACCTAATTAACAATGTTCTCCAGTTAACACATGCATATATAAAAATGTTGTATTGTAGTGGTTGTTGTCGTTGTTGTCGTCGTAATATTATTTACACAATTGCTGCAATTGAGTTGTTACAAAAGACCCTTAAAGCAATTGTTTGTCCAAATTGCCTAAGGTTTCTTAAATGTTCATAACAAATATACGCAGGCTCATATGTATGTAAACAGACATTCACATATAAACACGTACACTTATGTACGTACAATTTTACAAATACTTGTACACTTTCGTACGTTTCTTTACAATGGCAATTTTGCAAGTAAATAACTACAATTTAAAGTAGATAAATGCACACAAGAGCATTTGTTGCATAAAGCACCACGAACCAGTTAAAAATACACTGCAACAATTTATTTTACACTAAACAAAGAAAGGAAAAAATATAAATGTTTCCTTTTCTAAGCGAGAAGATGTGAGTGAGTGTGTGTAAGTCTGGGTGAAAAATAATAGATGAAGGTAATAATGATATTTTAGATTATGGCGATGATGATGTTCTTGCTGCAGTTGGTCCGCTGCAAGTTGTGAACTGTTGATAAATATGAATTCACTTGATGATGAATTACGATGAGTTTATTTGTCGTTTTGTTTTAAATGTCACTTTCGTCGTTGTTGTTGCTGTATTAAAGTTGCTTTTTGCATTTAAGCATGCTTGTTTCCACTTTTCAAATAATTTCGTTTGAGTCCACAACAGGTCATCCATAGATAATAGTAGTTATAAAATCTCCCTGTACGAAATATGTATGTATGTAAGACAGAAATATGAAAATACCAGCAACAAAGCTGTGATTACCACAACAACATGCAACAATCAAAGTGTATAATAATTTCTTTCCCAAAGACTTTGTAGACGGTTTTTGTTTAAAGATACAATAATAAACTGTTTAGATTCTTTGAGTTTTAAGAAGACTCAAGTTAATGCCACCGAGGCCAACTAAACGTACAAATGTCACAGAAACCAGAAAGCCAGCATAAGGTAAGAACGACACAAAAGAAATTCTACACAAAAAGGTGTAAAATTAACAAAATAAAAAAAAAAAAATAAACATGAAACATCAAACAAATAAATTACGTACGTACTTGTAATTTGTTTCCCTTAATTTAAAAGAAAAGAAAATCTTTAGTGCTATTTTGTTTTCCGGTTCTTCTGAGGCGGCATAAATTAAGACACACTTATGAATGTAATTATTTATGTTTGAGTAAGTGTGTAGGGAAATAATTACACAGTTATATGTATGTATGTATACAAACGACAGCAGAATGAGTCTTTTCAAAGCTTTAATTGCGCTCGTGTTTTTTATAAATTTGCAATTTAAATTTAAATATTGTTTTTGTGATTTTTCTATTGAAATTATCATTAAAAAAAAACTGTGAAATAATTGTTTGACTGGTATGTGTATTTATGTCAAGGTAATTTGATTTTTAATTTATCTATTAAACGAATTTTATAGTGGTCAAACACTCAGGGGATTGCCCCCACTTATGCAGTACACTGTATTAGAACAAGTAAAATTAGTGATGGAAAGCTCAAAGAAACTTCATTTAAACATTACATTAAAAATACAATGAAATGTTTCTGCAGGTGGTTGGTTCTAAATAAGTACTACTGAAGAATAATATATTTACATCTAAAAATATGCGACAATCTGAAACGATGCAGCAATTTTGTAACTTGACAAACCACTTAAGCCAAAAGTTTTCCACATCGCTGAACACAATTTTGCGATAAAATATCGGATCAATCGATTAAGCGTCAATCTATTCATGATGATTTGACAGAGAACTGTTTTTCAATGACAAAAAGTTAACGCAGTATGACACGAATGTCGAGTGCTTAACGTGAACACCTGCTTTGACGGCCTTTTTTCACGGTGGTCTTTTTCATCCACTGGGTATGAAAAACTCAGGTGGCAATCTTTGTACATGGCTAAGCCGGTCCATGTACAAACACTTTGCTGAAGAACTCGAGCTATCTAATCTCTTGCCATAGTAGCCCCGTTGCGGAATGGCAGGCAGCATGGGATCAAACCCAATGCAAACACCGACAAGGGGTCTAAAGTCAATTGAAGGGGCGACTACCCTAACATCAGGTGAAATCAATCTTCCGTTATACCGGAAGGTGACCACCCTTATGATGTCATGAAAGATTGCATTACTTAAAAAGCAATCCCCATTAACTAATGACCCATTCTAGTGCATTCCTTAACCTCTTAAAGCCCGCGCAACCACACTACTGAGCTGGCTATTTTGATTCGGCAACAGCACCTAGAGACGTATTTGGTAGTCCGAAATATCCAGCCAATAAATCAGGATCCCTCTGTATGTCGGATAATGTGACAAAGGATGTAGAAATGTCCAAAGTCAATTAGGACCCAATAATTGCCCCGATAAGTTGAGTGGTGGACCTCAACCATAAGTCGTGTAGCATGAAACAATATGAATCCTGTTGAGAACTTCCCTGAAGTAAAAGGTCTACTAAATCAGTACTAGTCTCCTGTCGGGCAGAGGAATCTTTCCCGATCGTTCATCAATTACAACAGTTCCATTCTCAGACCATAAAGACCGATCTACTGAATGAGAGGCAACTACTAAGTTTCAACCTGAAAATTCGCCAACAAATACTGGCGCCCTACTACGCGAAGAGTAAGAGATACTTAACGGGTTCAGGAATCCAGTTGCTCTGTCACATATTTGGCCAACATTCTCCCCCCGCGAATTTGGGTATAAACCACAGCCACCACGTGGATCCCGAAGGAACCTCAACCAACTGACCAGCCAGGAAAAGTCCTGCGGGCAACTGGCCACCCGTAGTGCCAGATTATATGGTAGTCTGGTTAGACCCCATGTCAAATCATTCCAAGGGAAGGCCGAGGATACATTTGATCATCACCAGTTTATAGTCCCGACAGACTAGAGGTATTGGTAGCACCTCTTTTCCCCGGGATATTGCAATAACACCAAGGAGGAGATTTCACCAAGGTAACATGCCCCCATGGGGACGCAGTATGACAGTTCGTTTGACAGTTAACAATTTTTTAAAGTTTTATCGGGCCGCTTATATATTCCCAAGCCCAGAATATCAGACGCTGCTGATTCCTTAATTATATTATTTTACAAATGAGTTGCTATTTATATTTGCCCTATTAAAGTTATTTGCAACCATCTAATCAGGACGGTTAATCGTCTAATCTATTATGGCAATTGAGGAACTAGAATTACTGTTCATATTCACTTATAACGAATGATCAAAAATTTATTTGTCCCATTAAGCCGACCAATCCCAAAGAATAATACAAATTTTTTCCCACCTTTGTACTCTAACTCGCCTTAGTAATCCGAACTCGCGTATCAAATCATCAAAGTTTTAATTTTTTTGATTTTTAAATAATATTTTGAAAATTCTTGATGACAAATTTTCAAATTTTGTTATTAGTCAGAAGTTATTTTGTGCATTACTTGGTAATGAGTAGTCGTTGACGAACACATTATTTAATTTAGCGGAAAAGGTTTTCACGGGTATAGAGTCAACTGATTTGGCATTGTTTGTAGACCAATTGTCTAGAGCTTATGTCTAGCAAGCAATAGGTTGTTGGTTAGAAGCTAGACTAAGTAATGTAGAAAACAATTGAGTAGTCAGGCTCAAATACCAGCTATGTAACTATTACATCACTTATGTGTAAGTAGATTTGTAACCATTTATTTCTTGGACGCATTACAAAAATAAGATTATGTACTCCAATATTACTTGAAGTTTTTGCTGGGTAGTAACACTTAGCATTTAGGCGAAATTTCCGAAGGCTCTAGCCAATATTATTTCTGACATACACTAATTATTAAACTTTTTTTGTTAGAATAAGTTTTTTTTTTAAATTTTTAATAATTTTTTTATAAATACATTATGTATTTTAATTCAAATAGTTTTTGTTTATTAATATTAACTAAACAATACATTTATTTGTACATTAATATGTATACTAATTTTAGAATTTCACATGCATATATTGCTAAAACTAGGACAAAATTAAAATCAAAATCTTACGTTCACATCTATCAAATATTCGACGAAAATGTAGTTATCACTTCAGAAGGCATTTATTACTTGCGTCGACCTTTTTAGCAAAAAAAAAATTAATTCATGTAAGATCAAAATAAATTTACAAAAATATATGTTTGACGTCTTTTTCGTCAAATATTTGATTTGGCATTGTTTGTAGACCAATTGTCTAGAGATTATGTCTAGCAAGCAATAGGTTGTTGGTTAGAAGCTAGACTAAGTAATTATTGCGTCGACCTTTTTAGCAAAAAAAAATTAATTCATGTAAGATCAAAATAAATTTACAAAAATATATGTTTGACGTCTTTTTCGTCAAATATTTGATAGATGTACCTTTAGCAAAGTTTATACATATATTTCAATAACGCCACGTGTTGGAATAGCATTTCTAAATGGTATGCGTTAATGTTGATATTTATTACTCTAACCCTCATTATCTCAATGTCTGGTTAGATTTTATCCTAAGGTTAAATTGACAGTTTTCATACAAAAAATATTTTAACCGGCAGAATATCTACAGGTTAAACGGTAACCGGAGGTGGAGTTAACGGAGGTAAAAAAATATATTTTTCACGTATTTTTTGTCAAATATTAGATAGATGTGAACGTACCATTAGTAAAGTTTTTATATTTGACTTCAATAACGGCACGTGTTGCACTAGCATTTATAAACCCTACATCATTAATGGTAGTTGATTAAATGCGTTATTGTTGGTAAATAATGGTCGTTTTTATATAAAATATTATCAGATTAGAAGATTTGTGGTAAGAGTAACATATTTCTTCCACTTAAATTTCAACTACCAATTAAAGTGATAATTCGAAGAAATTTTCTAAACGTGTATTACAGTTAATTTAAATCGATATATTAATGCTTATAAACTTGTAAGTTATTCAGTTATCATAATAATTAGGCCAATTATAAATTGACCAATTCTAACGACAGTAGGTTTATTCACATTATGTATGTATATACCAAAACCTGATGCACCCTATACATTACTTATAAAATTTAAATTTGACTATATCATCTAGATTAAATTGTATAATGAACTTTTACGATTTCATGAAAATTCATTTCAAGGACACAAATGTCTGAAATTTAAATGACAACCGCAAAAAATTCCTCCTCTATGTGAAAAGTCTAAAGTGATTTTATTTAGAATTAATAGAATAAAGCAATAATTAGTTGAAACAAAAAATGTCCATATTAATTGGATTATTAAATATTTGACATGTATTGCGTTGTAAACATCAATAATACTTTGTGAAAGTACTACAAACTACAAATAACCAAAACTAAAATAAT